AAATAAAAGGCCAGAATTACTATATGTTGGAGCCCCATAAGACCTAGTTTCTTGGCCATGTCACATGGCCATAGACCAGCCACCTTCCTCAAGCTCCATAGGAATTCAACATCACCTCTGCAAAATGATTCAAAACACAGACTCTGTTGATGGTAGATTAACAATATGGTCCTGCTCCATGAAGGATAACACAATACTGTGCTTTGAAGTTAAGTGAAAAATTGTAGGGGTCATCAGTGACCCAGAGGGGGGGAAAAAAAAAAAAAGGTTGTCCAGATAGAAAGATTTAGATGATCTAAATACACAGCAAATTGTCCTAGTGCATCAACCTTCTCCCTAAGTTTATCAATAAAGACCTGATTCCCCTGGCTTTATTCTGAACACTTGCATTGTCAAGAATGAAATCTATAGGTTCTATAGATTAAGGGTGGCAAAATGTTTAGACGGTCAGGTTACAAAATTTCTGTTTGAAAAAAATAAAAGCAGCGCTTAAATCTTGAATTCAAGATTCAGTCTTGTAAATACTAAATAATAGTATATGATCCTATGGAAACATATGACCAAAAAGAATTAAAGAATGTGTGGGATTTGTTACACATAAATAAGCAATAATCTAAGAAAGGCTAACCCAGGGTATTTTTACAAAATGAAAAAAGAAATAAACAAAGGGTTGAATAGTACAATGAAGACTGTATTACATTCAGACAATAAGGAATTGTCTTTTTATTTGCAGGGCCAAAAAAAAAATCTTTATCTGTAGTGACAGAAAGTTTAGGATAATATATAAGGAAGCATGAAATGAAAAATTATGGAACTAAGAAGGCTATATAAATATAGACTCTCCCTTTTCATAAATATTCAATACATTATTTGACACATTGATTTGAGTGAAACTCCACAAGCACAATTTTAAGCATCTTGATTTGGGCTGAAGTCCAGTAAATTATATATTCCCAACAACTATCAGAGCTTTCACACTAAAAATATAAGCTCACAATCTACTTTGAAAATATTCGAAAATTATTTCCATTTTCATAGTAACAAGTACAGTTATCATTAACGTTGTCTCAGGTTTCTAAGGAAAGAAAATTATTCTGAGATATTGTTAATAAAAAAGAGTGTGGTAATAGAGAGGGGACATTTTCTTAAAGTGTGTTAAAGCTGTCATTTTCATTTTTAATGACTTTAACTGTGCTCGACAAGAGTTTAAGTCACAGAAATAAAACTATCCAATACATTGTCCACCAATCTTCTAGCCCCTCCCTGTATCAACCTCACAATGGATTTAATTCATCTTGAGAGCATAAATCCAACATTCAGTAAACAGAATTCTCCTGACTGACAATTGCTCAGCCTCTCTAGTGAGAAAATTCAGTGATAGTAACACTGAGGAAGGCGGCCTATACAGAATTTTCACTCTGTAAATGCCAAGGAAAACCACTTAAAATCTTTTTTGAAGATAACGGGAAAGGCAAAGTATTTTAAAAAGTTTATTGACAGACTCTATAAAATCATGTTTAAAAGTAAGAAAGATTTAACAACAGGCTTTTTGTCAGCCCTCAAGATACAGGAAGAAAGACCCCCAAAAGGAATATAGGAATCATTTCAAATAGGTCTCTTTCAATTGATGACTACGTTCCTCAGCGCTGCTCCTTCTAAAGCCAGATCATGCCAGACTCCCCAGGGGTTCTGGCTGTTTAGTGCTTATCAATAATGTCATATTAGTGAAGTTTTAAGAAGCAACTGTCCAGGCATCACTCTAAAGGTTTGATTTGAGATTACCAGACCGAATCTTATCTAGGATTATTTCCACATTATTCTACAGTGAGACAGAGAGTAAGCTTCTACAGCCTTAGAAGGGATAACTCAGATAAAGCATGCAAAGATTCATCTCAGGAAAATAGAATTAGCTTTTGCTTTAGTGGGCATGAAAACTTCTCAGATTCAGTTAGTTTATAAATGCATCATAGACTCAAATTCATCAATTCTTTGCTTGGTATTCCCCTTCCTGATTTTCCGATAGGATATTGTATTGTATCTTGAATAAGCACTTCTGGAGATATCACTCTTCTTCCCAAAGGTTGGCTGCTCATCAGGTGTCACAGGTTGGGAACTGGGGCTGCTCAGTGGGGAGTCCTCACTTGCATCACCTTCCTCTTTTAAGTGAGAACCCTCTTCAGTTTTTTTCTTAAATTCTATCACTCGAACTTCATCTTCATCATCATTGCAATCATCATCATCATCATCATTGTTAATTTCTTCATCCCAGACTTCTTGCTCCTCGTCATGTTTAGAATGCAGCACATCAACTTGGTGAGGTTTTCGAAACCCCAGCCATTCAATCTCAGTTGCCTGATAAGCTTTGCTCTTCCTACCCTCATCTTTTCTTTCTTCTAGAGGTTGTTCAGCAATCCTTTCCTTTTGTCGACTTATTTTCTGGTTACTGCTGCTCAGAGGAATCCTCTCCCACTGATGCCCTGTAGCAAAATCAATTGGTAGTTGAGATGTGCAGAGGTTCCAAAACACTCAGATGTTATCCTCCAAATTATTTGTCTGGACAATTAGTTCCCCACATATGCTTTATGAGATATTATTCTGTAGGTTACTTATATGTTTTACACAATAAAATAGGCTACACCATCAAATTAGTTTGGAAAACACTGAATTAAACACAGTTAAGAAGCTTCTTCAAAATTTATCCAAGCTTTTAAAATGCTAATGGTTATTATAAATCTCCAAGAAAGTCAACTCAACCTCATTTGACTATGGCTTTTTTTGTTGTTGTGGANTGGTATTACCAACTCTTTTTTTCCCCCAACCATTAATCAAAGCTGACAGATTTCTCAATTTGAACAGAGATGGGAAGTGAAAAATTGAGGAATTCTTTAATTTAAAACACAAACCAAGACTTGTAACTTTCACTTCATTATATAGATTGTCAGCGGAGTGCTTTTGCAACAAATTTTGCATAGGTTACTTAACCATTGCTATAAGTCAAAATGCCTTATAAAGAGAACAGGAACACTAAACAAAGCTAATGTAGAAAATATTTACTTTTGGTAAATAGCCATCTCATGGACAAGTTTGAATACACCATGTAAAGTATTATATACTCCTGATGAGGTTTAATGGATGGTATTTTAGGTGTTGGTGGTGCCTATGTCTAAAAGAAAGGAAAACAAAACAAAAAAACACTCATCACACTAAGCAGATTTAAGGCCTGTTTTCAACCTAATGGGTTGACTAATAATTACCACTCCAATTAGTCTCTGCAAGTTTATGTGAATCTTTGCTTTGTAAAAACAGACATGAAATTCTCATTTTCCAGCCAACAGAGCAACTTCTAATATGCTGAGTTCCTAATGATGATCGTTACCATCAAATAAGTAACATATCATTTCTTTGAAAACAGAGGCTGTCTATTTTATTATTGATGTAGATATTTGCCCATTTAAGGATATTGGTGACAAATATCTATATAAATAAAACCTTTATATTAGATGTTGAAGCTAAAATTTTTGATAGCATGGATAGATTTTCTTTACTTGACCATTCAGAAAACATATTAGTCTTTGTAAATATATGTGTATATAGATATATATAAATATATACACATATATTCATTTATATGTATATATGATTCTCTATATTTTATGCTTTGAATTGGAAGAAAGTAATACCAAGAGTTTCTACTTACAAATAAAATTAAGAAATATTTTTGCGTATTTTTAACTCTCAATTGCTTTGTCTGCCTCTGGCTTTCTGGACAAAAGTATCTCAGGTGGGTTTTCACTCTGAGTATTGTTTGCCATATTTGAAAGGAATAACCAAAGTCTAAATTATCAAAATGCCTGTAATTCAGGTCAGGATTATGCACATCCCTTAATTCTCCTTCTAACAACTGCCCAAATGTTGCTAGTTTTATACATATTAGCTATAAGAAGTCGACATTAAAACAAAACAAGTCAAAAGTCAAATTAGTGATTAGTGAATTTTGTTTTTGATTACATGAAAACATAAACTAATGGGAAAGCTAGATTAAAACTATGGAGTATAAAGGAATTTGGAATCAATTTGAATATTTTTTTAGTATCCAGTGTTTCTGCCTTTGACCAACTGAAGTTATCATAAAGAAGGAATCAAACATGTTAACACTTGATTTTTAAGTTTCTAAGTAAAAATTCAAATTACTTCCAAATTCATTTCTAAAACTCCCCCAAGCTGGCAGTTAGTTATGAGACATCATCATCTGATTTTGCAGTTTGCCAAGTATCTGAGTGATTTGTGCTGCTGATTTCC